TTTACTAATCCGGATTCAGAATGTCAAGTATTTCATGTTTTCTCTCCTATGTGGAACCCCAAAAAGTAATTAAAAATAAAAAAGAGCTGCTATCAAAGCAGAAGGGAGAGGATCAGGGAAGAGGAGGAGGCCTGGGGAGACCATCGGGTGGAAAGGGGAAGTGTCTTGGTTACTTTTCTCTCGTTGCTGGGACAAAATACCTGACGCCCAAAATTAAGGAAGGAAAAGTTTATTTCGCTTACAGTTTGTGGAGGTTTCAGTCCATACTTGGCTGGTTATAAGGCAGAGTGGCACATGGCAGAGGGCTACAGCTCCTGGCGGCAGAACACAGCAAAAGCAACAAGCACAAAAGCCAGGAATAGCCGCAAGCAGCCTCTTCCTCTCCCTTACATATGCAAACTATCCACCCCAGGGCAGGTGTAGCTCTCACACCCATAATCAATCAAACTCTAAAAGCCTGCCCCATGACCACATGAGGCTTTGGGGGGACACCCAGACACAAACCATAACCGGAAGTGATCAAAATATGCTGTGATGCCAGAAAGGGCATGTCCCACAGCAACACGCACACACACACGCACGCCTATGCACGCGTATGCACACACTGATGGGTGTGTTAAAGGGGCACAGGGACCAAATGAAAGCACTCTCAGTGGTCAAACACAGAACAGTTAAAGTAATGAAACTAAAGGAAGCAGTAGCGTGTTATAACTGAAAATAGTTCTCTAATCCAAGAGTCAATACTAACATAAATAAGTGACTGAACAAATTCATGAGCAGAGAAGAGATAAATCTCCTCTGCAGGACTCCAAAGAAAGCAGGTATGTGCTCTACCCTGAAGGCAGGGCCAACGCCCCATTCCGTAGGAGGAGCTGCTCACCTGTCTTCCTTCCAGAGCCCAGTGTGGGGAGGGGAGAAAAGGAGGAGCTTCAGAGTGGGGACACTTGACAAACACTGCTTCCCCCAAGTGACCCAGCAACACTGACAGCCAGAAGTCATACTGAGGTTAGGCACCCTGGATAAAATCTACTGACGGGGGCATTTGATCTTCCCCTGAACCCATAACTGTAGTCTGACTGGAAGGAAAACACGAATTTCAGCAGAGGGGCAGCCTGCCATCCACCTGCCAGCACTCCTCAAAGCTCTCACAGTCGTCAAAGGGGAAGTCTGAGAAACTGTCACAGCCATGAGGAGCCCAAGAAGCCAGGAGGAAAAAGCGTCTCTTGGTATCCTGCAAAGAAGGAGGACATCAGGGAAAAGTGAGGAAGCTTGAAGAAAGCTTGGACCCAAGTTTATAGTAATGTATCAATAGTGGTTCCCTAATTGTAACAAAGCACCCTACTAAGATGTTAGTAAAAGGATAAATTCTTCCTCTCTCTCTCCCTCTCTCTGTCTCTGGCAGGAAGTACATAGGAATTTTGTATTAGCTGCTCATTTTTTCTGTAAATATAAAACTGTCCTTAAAAATTAGAAAAAATAAAACACAATACAACATGAAGAATGGAACGGTAAAAAGAAGACTCTCAACTCTGACAATACTACCATCGGGCAGGCAGTATGATCCTAATTAACTTTATAGAGTCGCTGTAGTCAAAATAAGAAAACAAAAATCTATTTCTAACAGTATTCCTACCGGATTCCCCAGCAAGAAGAGGACAACAGCTATTTTGTGCGGGTCCAGAAGGAAGGCCTTGGGGCGCCTGGGTATGCAGAAGCCTGCCTGAGTTCTCCTCTGCCCTGCTCACCGAAGCGCTCTCTGACCCACACAGGCATGTCCCATGAGGGCCCACAACTTTCCCCCAGCAGGCTGAGCACCAAATGGGGAACCAGCCCTGGGCCCACCTCATGGCCCAGGGTCAGCCCAGGTGCCTACAGCTATCCCCATCGGGGCCGGCCCCTGGCTGCCTGCTTCCTCCCTTAATTTTGGGTGTCAACAATGAGAAAAGTAACTAAGACACCTACCCTCTCCCTTCTTGACTGATTGGTGAGTCTAGAACCTCCAATATGATGATGAACAGAAGTGGTAAGGGCAGATGTCTCTGATTTGGGTTTTGTTTTGTTTTGTTTTGGTGCCCGGAATCAAACTCAGGACCCTGCACATGCCAGGCAGACGCTGTACTGCTGAGCTATATCCCCAGCCCCTCTGGTTTTGATGTTAGAGCAAAATATTCAGTCTCACAATTGATGATGTTAGCTGAAGGATTTTTGTGGCTGCCCTTCATCCATTTATTCCCAATTTGCTGAAAAGAAATGATGCTGGATTTTTGTCAATGTCTTCTCTGTGTTGAGATGATTATATAATTATGCTTATTTAGTTTGTTTAAATAATGAATTACACTATTTTTCCAATGTGAAATCAAGCCTGTACTCCTTGGATAAATCCCATCAGATCATGATGTATTACTTCTCTCTTACATTGCAGGACTCAAATTGCTAAACTTTTACTTGGAATTTTCACCCTGCATTCATGAACAATATTGATCTGTAGGGGTTTTTTTCCTGATAAATGTTGCTAAAGATTTTATTCATCCATCCATTCAAGTTTTCCAAAGAACAAGCTTTTGGATCCACAAATTTTTTCTTTTTAAAATTTCACTGGTTTTTACTTTGATAAAGAGATTTTGGATCCATAAATTTTTTTTTTAGTTTTTTAAAAAATTCATCTGAATCTCAGTTTCATTTCTATTCTTTCTTTTCTTGTATTTGCTTTAGGTTTTTTTTTTTTTAAATTTCTGAGAGGAGACTGAAATGACTGATTGGACACTTTTTTTTCTTCTTCTTCTTTTTAAAATATAAGTATTTGAATGCCATAAATCTCCAGGTTCTGATTTAGCTGCAATGCACAATTTCTGTATTATTTTCTAATTTCCCTTTAGACTTCTTTTACCTATGGGTCCTTAAATTAGTTTCCATATTTTGGGAGATTTTCAAGGATCTGTTATTTGTTCCTAATTTAATTCTATTGTGACCAAAGAACATAATTTTATGATGAATACTTCTGAATCTGAGACTTTTTGATGGGCCATAATAGATCTCTACAGTCCTTGTGCACTTAAAAAAAAAATGTGTATCCTGCCACTTGCTGTAGGGTAGAATATTCTACAAATATCAATTAGGTCAAGTTGGTGGAGTGTTGCTTAAATCTACTGTATTATTGATTTTCTGCCTAGTTATCAATTATTGAGATGGATATTAAAATATTATGCATGTCTTTTTTCTTTCAGTTCTATTAATTTTTGCTTGATGTATTTGGAAGTTTATTAGGTGCCCAGATTTGAGCATTAGGTTTTGCTAGTTAGTTTATCCATATTATACAGACTTCCTTAATCCCTATTTATTACTCTTTACTCTGATATCCACTTTGATACCGAGATAGCCACTCCAGGTAAAGTTCTAGCACAGTGCATCTTTTTTCCATTCTTTCACTTTTAACCTCCTTGTATCTTTATATTTAAAGTACACTTGTGGGCAGGATACAGTCATGTTTTTATTCTCAATCCAACGTGACATTTTTTGCCTTTTAATTGGGGTAGACTATTTACACTTAATGTGATGAGGTTGAGTCTATGTTTTCTATTCATCCCATCAATTTATTGCCTTTTATGTCTGTCTTTTCCATTAATCAATGGTTTTCTACTATTGCATTTTACCTTTTTACTGAAGAGTTAAGAGTTTTTGGTTTGTCACTTTAGTGGCTACTCTAGGGTTCATCCTACGAATTTTTACCTTATCACCCACTACATTCAAATATTTCATATTACAAGAATCCTACAATAGCATTCTTCTTCTCGCCTTGTCTTTAAAAGCCATGATGGTCAACCACTTTATTTTTCCATATATTTAAAATCTGATACTATATTATTTGAACAATTGTTTGTAAGAGATTTAAATAATAAACCATGCATTTCCCCATCTTGTAAATATTTCTGGTGCTCTACTTCCCTTCTGCCTGAAGGACATCCTGTCTGTTCTTGTAGTGCAGGCCCAGGGGTGATATTGTTCAGCATTTGCAAGTCTAAAACTGTCTTCATTTTTCATAACTATTATCTTCTTTGTAGTGTTGTTTAGTCAGCCATTAAACCAATCAATTGAGCTTTCAATTTAATATTTTTCATTCCTAACCTTAACTTTTCTCAAGCTCCTTGGTTATTTTTACAATCATGTTCTTTAATCCTTATTTGAAAATACTTTATACTGCATGTGACAACCTTTAAGTCTTTCAGAGCCAGTGTCTGTTCTGCTATTTTTGTGATTTCTAATGACGATGTTAGATACCTTGAAACCCTCGCTTCTGCCGAAGGTAGTGGGTTTTGCTTTTGTGTCACCTGGAGGGTACTGGACTCTGTTAGCACTTGCAATTTCCAGCTGGGGACCCAAGTCTCCCAGGTTGTACATACAAACTGCCTTAAGGGCTGCCTGTGACCTCATGCATATATGAGTGCATGGGTACGTGTGTGTGTGTGCAAACAGACTTATATTCTCCAAAGGATGTGCTTTCCCTCAGGACTCGAAATTTCCTTGCTGTTTAGGGGTGAGGGGAGGGGGTTGGGCCGCAGACGGGTATTTATAGCTCACCCCTACTCTAAGTCTATCCTTTGGGGTCTCAATTTTATGAGGTCTGCTAGTAGGTTGGCCTTAGGCAGACCCTAGGCTTTGTCTGCTGTTCTGCTGCCCCCTCTCCAACCTAGGGAATGAAAAGGAGATGCAATTTGACATTTGGCAAATATATTAAGACTGAAAAGTGGTATCGGTGCTTTAATTACTTTGGGTTTCTGTTTCCATTAAAAATTTTTTTTGAGGACTGGGAATGTGGGTTGTCAGTGGAAAGCTTACCTAGCACAAGGAAGGCCATGGGTTTGCTTCCCCAGCATTGAAACAAAAACACAAACAAAATAAAAAAATAAAACACTGCCTTTGAGAACTCTTATTTTGCAAGTCAACTGGTTAGTTTTAAAGAATGGCTCTTCATATTCTTCTAGAAATGTCCATACCAGCCAACGTTCTTTCAACTTGTCCTTTAATGGAGTACACACATATCCTTCCCCCACCCAGGGGCAACAGAGAGGACACATGCTTAGGAACCAGGCTGACCTGAGACTGAATCTCAGGTCGACTAGCAGTATACCTTGGTAGCTTACCTAGGTTGTGCTTCAGTTTCCTTAGAGCATTTACAACAGAGATTGGCCTGGTAAGGACAATATGAGAATTTCTTTTTATTATCTGAAAAAGTTGTGATGAGTAACAGCACACACCTTGGCCAGTGGTCCAATACTCCCTGGTCCCCGCGTACCCAGCCTGCTCTGCTGGGTGGAAGGCCACATCTGTGTTTACACTGATGGAGAGGAGGCAGTTATGCGCTATCACGCGGCCACAGCCCACCTGCCATGGCAGAGGGGCTGTCCTTCAGCAGGAACACTGGAAAAAGCTGGTCTGAGAAGTGTCCTCATTATAGAAGCCTGCGTGAACACACAACCCTTTCATAACCAACAGATCTGAAAATAAGCATAAGCATAAACAAACATGATTTTAAATCTCCTATTTTTTTATGGTGGACAGTCATCATTTGCTCCAACAGCCATCTGCAGCCAGTAGTCCAGGTTATTAAAAATCACAAAGTTGTACAAGTGTTCGCCTCCTTTCCAGAAACCATGTTCATTTTCTCTCCACGAAACGGGGCTGTCTGCAAAGCCTTGCACTGACAACGTTACCCACGGAGCTAACTTCGGCTCATCAAAGTAGTGGCTGAAAAAGAAAAATCATTCTTAACAAACAGGGAGGTGAGCAACGTCCATATTAAAAAAAATTGTTCAAGATAAGTGGTGTCTGTCATGTAGCAATGAAGCTTAAGCTTTTGCTTTACTTTATAAAAATTAGACAATGCAAATTCCTGATGCTATACCATAAATTCCATAAAGATTAAGCCATAGCACGCAAACAGTGGTGTCCATTCTTACTCTGGGAGACCACGTAAGGTTAAAAGAGCCAAAGCCAGAAGTACTCCATGAAGTGTGTAAGAACAGTTTTCCCTCCATTAACAGCGCTATTCTCAGTCTCTCTTCATTGAAACAAGGCAGAACAGTTCCATCAGAATTTTTAAAAGCTGCCCTTTTTAATTTAGAGAATCAAAGTGAAAAAAAATCAAAGTGCAAAATTAATAAATGTAAAAAAGGATGTTAGATTTAAAAAGGAAAACCCTGCAGACTTAAGTCACAGACACTTCAAAAAAAGAGTAGACGGCATGCTTATTAAACAGGATTATGCCCAATTTGGTCTTTTCAGTGGAGGACTTGAATGTCCACATGTTAGACACAATATACACATTTGATTTATACAGCACATTCCCCAATGCAAAACCTGTATTGTTCTATACAATACTTGGCATTTTATTAACGCCCAGTGATTCACGGAATTCCAGTGCTGCAACATATCTTAGATACACTTTGGATTCAGAGATGATCAATTCTTTCCCATTCCATTTCAGAATGATTTTTACAATCCCCAGAAGAGATCCTAATTTGTCCCACAGAATGTTGCTGTGTTTTTAAGAGATACTACAATTCTGTACCCAAAATGGCCCAGGGGAGCAGAAGCAGGAAAATGAGCAGTTTGTGTCCAAGAAGCAATAATGAAGCTCTGTTTTATCTTTTCATAAGGACGAGCACTTGGCAATAGCATTTTCCTACCAGCAAGGATAATTATACCATTTCTGACAACGTTACTGCACTTGGAGCCCAAGCAAGGAAAGACATGGGAAATGCACGTAAGGGCCCTGTCGTGGAACACAGCACTGTGGCACTGATTAGCCGTGTGTAAAAGACAAAAAGGGACTCACCACAACTGCTCCAGGAGCACACAGATCTTCTCTGGAACTATGAAACCAGTGACTGTACACAAGTAAGCGTTTGCAGCCAGTGTGCTTGGCTGGGGACAGCAATAGGTTGATATGAAATTATTAGGCTCATTATTCCTGTTACAAAAGAAAAGATATTTATATTCATGACATAATCTCATCTCAAGTATTAAAAGCCCAGCCGGAAACAAGCAGCAAGCCAGAGCCCTACACCACCCACAGCCCCGGATACCCACAGGTCTACGTCACACAAGACAGCGCCAAGCCAGTCGAAGAGCTCCGGGGCGCCGCAGGACGCCTCCGGCTCTCCGCGGAGCTCGCCGCTCCGCAGCTCGGGGCACTGCAGATTTCTCAAAGTGCTCACTGCTACTCTGGGCTGCCGCTCTTGAATCTGGTATTTGGAAAAGTATGACATCATCGTTGATTCTTCGGCACCTTAAAACGCACCACATAAAACCATGTGAAAGTTGTAAGCAAGCTCGGCGAATCCCTCAAACCACCCCAGTCCCCTCTGAGTTAGGGGGAGGCAAGAAGGATTAAGTAAGAGTGAAGTTATGCAAAGCTGGATTCAAACTAACATCATTTAAAGTTACTTTCAGCTCCTAGTGCCAGAGTTCTGTGAACTTTTGTCCTCTCGCTTTTCTTAGAAATGCACAATGCTTTCAGATCAGGCCCAGATCAGTTTTAGTTGCTCTAAGAAAATTTCATCCTAACACATAAAACCCCAAGTATGAATAACAGTAATAGATGCTACCAAGGCAGAAGCATGTTTGCAAATCTCTACAGAGGAGACCGAAGAGGAATGGAATGACGACAGAATCGCACTCAAGCCTGCCTTTGAAACTCAGTAAAACAAGTGGGTCTTTTCAGAGATGTCTGTGGAGCTGATGGCCATGCAAGGCAGAAACAGGGTCTCCCAGAGCCAAGGGCCATAACGTCTCCCTCCTTCACAAGCAGGTCGGCAAGCTTAGTGCCCATTACAAAAGGTTTGAGTTCCTGAAGCCCCGGGCTCCTTGCCTGCGATGGACCCCACTACATGTGTCAGCATCACCAGACCCACTCTGTGTCACGCTCTGGGTACTGCAACTCGGTGAACTGGCGCAAATGCCGACTCTCTATGTGGTGGGTAAGTTTAGATGTCAACACGACTGGATTAAGGGATAACAACAGAGGTGGTAAAGCATTATTTCTAGGGCCTCTTTGAGGAAATTCCCGAGGAGGCTGGCATATGAGTCAGTGAACCAAGGAGGGAAGACCCACTCTCAATGCAGGAGGGCACCATCCAATTGGCTGTGCGCCTGGATGGAGCGCAAAGGCAGAGGAAAGGCTGATTCGCACTGTGGAGCTGGGACAGCCAGCTTCTCTTGCTCTTGGACGCCAAAATTCCAGGTTCTCTGGCCTTGGGACTATGGCTTGCACAGCAGTCCCCTGGTTCTTAGGCGTGGCTTGCTGGTTCTGAGGCTTTCACAGACTGATGTCCCTGGTTCTCCAGCTTGCAGATGGCCTACAATGGGACATCAGCCTCCGCAACCGCACAAGCCATTTCCCCTGGTAAGTCTTGAGCCAGCCAGCCAGCCAGCCACCTCCTATCAGTTCTGTCTCTGTGGAGAATCCTAACACTCTGCCTGCTATTTCTGTGAGGAATTAAGTCCTTTGTCTCTGACCCAGGAGTTCCACCAGCATCTGAGACTTTTGCAAGCTATTATGTTAACCTCAAGTAGGGAAAAAAAATCTTGGACTTTTTATAGTTTCTGAAAAACACTGAAAGTAGTAATTAAGATACTCAGGAAGAGAAAGCTATCGAGAACGGACTACAGAGATGGTCCTCATCTAAGACTGCAAGTGACTGAAACTTCAGTAAATCTCTTCACTATCTCTTATATCTGCCACAGGCATGAGAGACACCAATGTACTACAGAACTGAGACTCACGGAAGCAACCTGGACACCAGCAGCCACATGATGGGTGTATTTCCAAAACAGTCTGTTACGGTTTAGGTCGAGAACGTCTTCCCAAAGCCCCATGTGCTCAGAGGTGGGGTTTTCGATAGATAACTAGATCACGGGGCCACTGATGATCACCCACTGATGTGCTCAATAGCTGAGTATCCTCTTAGGAGGAGGCACCCAGTTACAGGGTAGTCAGTCACAGGCAGCGTGACAGGAAGATGTACCTTTTTCTCTGACTCTTCCCTTTTCTCTCTGCTTCCTGGTCTCCACCATGTGAGGAGCTCTCTGGCCCTTCCACCGTGCCATTTCTGCCTTGGTATGGGCTAAACACGGCCTGAAAACGTGAGACTAAAGCCTTCTCATTCTTTCAGTTGTGGGTGTTGGATACTGTATCCCAGCCATGAGACACCAACCACAACGCAGACCTACATGTTTCCCTATCCTCCAAAGGGGACTAGCATGTCATAATTCCTAAGGATTTCATTCATTATAATCATAATAAAAGCAGATCAATATACAGTTTATTCTTCATACCTGTCTGATGCCAAGCCAAAAGAAAATCAAATCTCAATGGCTTCTTTTCTTTCAAGCACCAAGATATTCTTTCATACTTCTTGGAATCCAGGTTAAAGGATAAATCCATCAAATCAATGGAAACAACTTTTAAAAAATGGAAAAAGGAATATGCGTTTCATTCAAATATACATCGTTTGCATTGTGGAGAAAGTTATGTTAAAGGAGTCAGAATTTTTGGAAATTTTAGTAAGAATGACTTTGTTCTTCTTGCTCCTTCTATTGTTTACCAAATCCAAAATATCCCTTCCATGGGTATTTCTAGCATTAAAAACTAGTACTAACAAATGTTTTAAATTCATACTTTCCTAGGTCAAAGACCAAGGGCAAAATGAGTGTGTTAGCACATGCCTTTAACCCTTGTTACATGAGAGGCTGACACAGAAAGATTACAAGTTCAAGGCCAGCCTAAACAACTTAGACTGTCTCCAAATAAAAAATAAAAAGAGCTAGGGATGTAACTCAGTGGTAACACTCCTGGGTTTGATCTCCAGTACCACAGACAGATAGACATATAGATTAATTAATTATTTAATTAATTTTTAAAAAAGACCAAGGACAGAAGTCCTCAGGAGTTCAACTCCAATATACTCAGGGACATGGAAGTCTTAACTATTGATGTCCACATCAGATATAGTTGCCAGAATTATATTGCTTCACTCATGAGAAACTTCTACCGCTAATCATAAAGACTTGGGGGAAGTTATTTAAGAACACGTTGCAAACTGCTCTTTTGGAATCATTACTTGGAATTTCTGACCTAAAACAAGTATCTGAAACAGTCTAATTCACTTGCTATATAATGCTGCTTGAGGTAAAGAGAAAAACAGAGTTAGCAGCATCATCTGATCCTCTATGAAGCCTAACCAATAATCCACTGAGTCAGAAGTTTTAAAGACAAAAAAGAGCTGTATTTTTCTCAACAGAGATTAGAGGTAATTCAAATACTTAAATTTAAATTGCTACACAAAGATTACTGGACTGAAGACATTAATGAAGGTGCACAATACTTACTAAATTTCATAATTTTCCTGCCAGAATACTTAGATGGACGACCTTGAAGTCCAGTTTCTTCATAAGTGTCTTTATCCAATGATAAAATTAATTTCCCTACAATTAATCCAATAATTTCCATTAAAGAGATGCTAAAAACATGATTTATATTGTCTAAGAATGCAAAGCAACCAAAGAATTAGACATTTGTAATAAACTGCATAATACATGGGTATTATAAATAGTAGTGAAGGGGAAAATTAAAATTTTAAATGAAAGCCTGCCCAGGATGCCCACCACGACCAAGCGGACATGTCCAGCAGGCCTGATAACAGCACATTTCTTCCTTTATGTATCCCGTCTCTATTACCTTTCTATAACTGATGGCCCTGCAATGTAACTTAAAATGTAACAGGACATTTCTTCTGTTGTATAACCCAAGCTTTGTGTAACTGATAGCTGTACAATGTAACCTGAGATGGTCAAACTCCTTCAGCAACCCATGATGTCACCCGACCCTCCAATCACATGCACCAAATCTGCCTATGCACCTCCTTGCTTACTTTCCCTTTAAAAGCTTTGAAACCTCACCAGGTGGGGCTCTGACTCTTTAGGAGAGATCCTTTAGGAGGATCCTAGATCCTAGAAGCCCACTGGTGTAATGAACTGTCTCCTAAACCTTCTTGGTGCCGTTTTTCCCGTGTTTGGTCTGTTTTCTGCAACAGCAGAACTAAAAATAATCTAAATTTCTAGGAAAGAAGAAACAGTTATACAGATATGGTATATTTCATATATCTTTAAGACATTAATGGTTGTAAGTTAGAACTATTTGCACTGTATTATGGTTTAGATCAGTGACCCCCAACACTCTCATGTGCTCAGAGGCAGGGCTTTGGAAGGTGACTATCACAGGGAGCTACAGCTGAATGTGATGTTAGGAGGGGGGTTAGGGGGAAGAGATGGGTCACTGGAGGTGTGACCTGGAAGCCTTTTCTCCCTCCCCAGCTCCTCCCTTATCTGCTTCCTGGTCGCCATGACTTGAACAGTTTGCCTCTACCTATCCCTTCCACCTTGCCTTGGAGCCAGCTGACCATGGACTATACCCCTGCGCTAAAATACAGCTCTTTTCCTTTAATTTGTGGGTGTCGGGTGCTCTGCCTTAGTAACAAGACAGTGACTAAGACACACTGAAAGGAAAACATGTCTATATGTAGCTTGGGGAAAAAAGAACATAGATTCACTACACAGTAAAATAAAATTTATGTTAAAAAGAATATGTATTTATAAATTCATAGAAAATATACACCACATGCATCAAACTGTTAACAGTGCCTTCTAAGAACAAAAGTGAGTTTGCAGGGATGAAGGACCTTCACTTTATATAGATCCATATGATGTGACAGTTTTAAAGTATGTATTTCTTTTATATTTAAAAAAGGAAAAAAAAATCAATGTTACCATTTGGTAGTAGTGCAATAGTATTATCTTCATCAATCTTTGTATTGTATGTCAGTGCATAGCATGAACCTATAATAGAAAGTTCAGAACAGAAATTAAGACAAAAAAAGTTACACTTAAAAAGTTAGTGCACTGTTTTCACACGACAACCAAACTTTCAAGTAGGTGACAGTACCTCCCAAAGCTCTTGCTCACTCAGGAACCCTAATACGTGCTATGACTAAGCTGCAGTATGCAGAAGGCCCGTGCAGCTCTCGCCCTTACTAAAGCCCTATTTGGGGAAGTTTACCATCACCAGGCAGAAACTGGACTCTAATGGAATGTCTACCTTCAGGGATGCTGGCAGAAAGGCACAAAGCAGAATATCAGGTGAGAGTATACACCTTACAGCAGAGTGGTAGGTTAACATTCACAGGCAACCCAACTAATTAATATTCAAGTTACTCAACCTTCCGTCATTGGTTAAATGGGGCTCACAGGCCTACTTTACAGATGTTGCAAGGCTTAAATCTGCTAAGATATTTAAAAGTGCCTGCTACAAAATGTGTTCATGCCATTACCAAAATAGTACCAGACTTCAAAGTAGATGACAAAAATGTTCATGAGAACAAAGGCGAGATGTTTAGTCTCATAAGCAGCCTTAGGAGCCTCAGAATGAGAGGTGCAACAAACAACTAGAATTCTCCCCACGTCTACAGGAGAAGCCAAACGTGGGGCAACCAGAAGCTAAGTCTGAGGCCCATGCACAGTGACTGATGAGGTGAGGGTGGGAATCCTAAGGACACTCTGAAATACAATTTCTGATGAATGGCTCCTAGGAAACAACTGGAACAAACCAATCAATACAGCAGACACAGCTGGGAACATGGCAAGCAGAGGAGGGACAGGGGCACAAAATCTAAGATGATGACATTGAACCAGAAGGAGCACCTGGCCCTGTGACCAGCAGCTATGGCTGCATCAGGAGAACAAGCTTCTGACACAGGAGACCAAGCTCCCCCACTGTGGAGAGGGCTGAGAGCAGGGTCTGCAGCAACACCACCAACAGCAGTGCATCCTGACACAGACTGCAGGGCTTTTCTCTCTAGTAATCCTGCTTTAAGGTGATGGATACCCTTATGTTGCAACATCCCCATCCAAGACTTGGGGACAGGTGTCATCAGAAAGCACCAACTACACAGGACACAGCAAAGAGCAGGATGAGAATACTGAGGGATGGGCGCGTGGTGCATGCACGTGACCACAGGGACTATTCCCATAGGCCGTTTAAAGTGAGAAACACCCTAGTACCCTAGGGTATCCTAGTGGTCTCCCGGTACTTCCTCATCCTGCATTATTCACAGGCACTGTACAGTTTTTCTTACCTTTCTTCACAAAGGTGTTGATGAATTCATGTGTAATTAACTCATGAAGAGGTAAGTTCTTCACAAAGTAATAAGGTCCCATTTCCATGACCAGGTTTTTCAGTTCTTTCGATGGTAACCCACATTCAGGAATTAGAAAAGAAACCTATTGGGATGTTTAATGCAAACAAGACTTATTTTACTGGAGAGTAGCACCAGGTTTTTAGGAGTGAAGTATCATGACGGTTGCTCACTATTGAATCACAGGATTCACTGGAACACGCCACACAGGCAACACATCTCTTAACCTACCAATCTCCAGCAAAGAAAATCCCGTTTTCCATCTTTGCATGCATACATACAGTATGGGGGAAAAAACTGCACAGAAACTTTTCAGTGGAAAGGTCTTGCTTACATTTTATCTTTTACAAACTAGCAATATATTTTATGTTCTGTCCCTTTCACTACTTTGGTTTCAAGGAAATAAAAAGTACTATTATATATTTCTGGATGTGTTTACCCTGATATTATCTTGGAATCAAAAGATCGTCCCTGGGAGCATAAGGAATTTAGGGACATCCAATGAAGAGGCTAATTGGAAGCAGAAGTGCTTCAAGTTTCCATTTTCTAGACTGGAAATGCAGCAGTCAGATGGGAGGAGTTAAGGTATGCAGCCCTAAATGCTGCAATAAGCTTTCCAATTAAAGCAGAGGTGTTAAAATTCAAGAGGTTTCAAACGTTCTCCAGCGTCCCCGTCTTGAAAGTCGCCCTCCCAATGACTGCACATCAGTCTGTTCCGGAGGACTCAGGTGGTCTCTTAAAAGTCTCTGAGACATCAATCAGGCGATTAACTTAAAGTGTAAAATGGTTACTCAAATCCGTATCATGCTAAGGTTGGGTTTATTTGGAGTTAATAAGTAGAAAGCCTGTTCCCATAAAAGTTTAGGAAAGCAAGTAGTAGCGGTTGCACGCTACTCTGAAAAGAGGCACAGGTAGGCAGACGGGGAGGGAGTCCAGCGGCAGAGGAACCCGATGGCAAGGAGCTGAGGAATTCGCCCTGATTTAGGGCGAAGGACAGCTGCACGTGGCGGTGGCCACTCCCTTTTAACTCCCAGTCCCACCCTTCACAACGATCCGCAGACTTTCCAGCGTGGAGCCTGGCAGAATCGGAGTCGGCAGCATCCTCTTCCACGCAGAACTGGGCTCCGCCCCCGAGCCAGATGCATGCTGGGAGCTGTAGTCCTGTAGCACTGCACGCTACATAGCAAAGCAGCAAAGACACTACATTTCCCAGGATGCCCAGCAAGGGCCCGCCTCTAGCCCCGCCCCTCCATGCGCCAGGAGGGCCCGCAACCAGAAGTCGAGCAGGGTGCTGCTCCAAACTTCTCTCTCCCGCGGGGACCGAGTGCGGCCTGACTCACCTTGTAATTGTGATAGTGCGTCTCTACGAGATGCCGGTGGCGTGACTTGTCGTGGCCGAAGTTGGACTTCTCACAGACTAGTAAGTGCCGGGGCGTCTGTCGCAGCCCGCGCAGCGTGGCCATGCTTGTGGTAATTTCGTGTGTTCCGCCCCTCCGCGGGCTGGGCGCGCCCCGCCCCTTCGCTTCGCCCCGCCCCTCCTCCCGGTGCATGCGCAGTGCGGCCACGCGCTCTAATTAGGGTGGGTGATGTGTTTTTGGTGCCGCATATCTTACTCAAATTGAAGCATCTGGTCGGTGGTGCCTAAAACCGTACTTTCACTGTCCGTTGTGTAAATACTCGGTCCCTGACTGGCATGGCCTTCTTGCCCTCCGCCTCGCAGCTGCGTGAATCCCCACGCAGGACTTAGGGACTTGAGGCTGAGCAGCTGATCCCTGACCGGACTCCCGTGGGGACGGTCCCAGCATCTGTCGTGAACGGGAAGCAGACACGGGGGAGGTGCGCAGTGCAGCCAGGAGACATCCGCAGTTACTTTCCCGCCTCCTTGCACGGACTCTTTCCCAGGACCTCGTCATCCTACCGTGGATCTCTTGGCCATGATTAACATCAGCCCAAGGGACCTAAGGCTCGCTCTGGTCTCCCCCAAGATGCTAGGGAAATGTGTGTACGAAGGTAATGCACCTTCTATTTTTCTGACCTATGGTAGCGTTTTTTAAAAACCACTACAAATGGTCCTTTTTCAAATATCCCTTTGAGGGTTCCAGTGGTGAATCTCTTAAGTCATTTTCCATTTAGTTTTTCTGATGAACTCCCAGTACTACATTGATATGTTTTTCTTAAACTGGAGAATTCAGAGCCCTGAATCTACACAGGAGGCTGCAAAACACCACAGTTCTGGCGATACATCATCCTGGAGCATCAGTTTTACTATAGAATATGGGAGAAAAAGTCAAGTAATTTACAAGATAATAATTAAGAATTTAAAGCTAAGACAGGGCTGGAAGACATCTGCATTAATAACTGCACCTGAAATGTCAGATTTTCTTGAGAAAAAAACTAAGGAGAACCTATATCCCATCATTTTAACAGTGAGATAGAAGGTATAGCAAGTCAACCAAAAAACTCTACTAGGTTCCTAAATCACAAATGACACGTAGATGTAAGGCACAGACAGATATGTTAGGGTGGAAAATGCTTCAGCGCTCTCATCTTGGTCACCTCATGTTTTTTTTTTTTTTTTTTTTTTTTGGTTTTACTCCGGTACCAGGAACCGAACTCACGACCTTGTGCTTGCCAGGCAGGCGCTTTGCCGCTGAGCTAAATCCCCAGCCCCTGGTCACCTCATGTTTAATGTGCTGGTTGCCTGACCGCAGCTTCTTCTTAACAGCCAGTTTCAGCCACCTTCCTCCCTTGCTGGTCTGCTGCCAAAAAAAGCATCCTAGCCGTCCCTCCTTACCCATTAGCAGTCCTCCCTTCCTCTGTTCAGCATCCAGACTGACCTCATGAAAACATGAAACACATACTATGTGCTGCCTTGCTTCCTAAACCTGGCCATGGGAATCTCATTACAATAGAGTAAAAGCTTTAAAACCTGGCCCCTACCTGCCTCTTCAGCCCCATTTCCTACCCCTACGTTTTTATACTGATAGGTATAAAATTTCCTGCTATCAAGACCTGAAAGCAGTCTGAGTTAATAGACATTAGATAATAGAATCTAACACATAAGGCATAGAAGGAAAAGACAGAGAAAGATGGACCATTTAAAAAGCAGAATAGAGGTTAGGAAAGAGAGACATGGTGGGTCATAGGCACCAAAATACAGTTAAAGGAAGGAAAGTGTAAGACAGTTGTGGTCTATAACAATTCTATATTTAAAAATAACTATAGAGGAGATTTTAAAGGTTCCTAATTGTTACGGCTTGTATCTAGATGTCCCCCCAAAGAATCATGCATTCATAGGTAGGGAGTTTTGAAGGTGGCTGGATTAGGGTGTGTGAAGGTGGATTAACAGTGTGATACTGGGGTTAAGTGGGTAGATAATGGAATCCCCAAGGGGTAGAAGTGGCACCAATCATTGTGCTTACACCCTGGATGGAATGTAAAGGGAGAGAGGGAAGGCAGGCTGCTGCTACTGCTTGCTGCTGCTTGCTGCTTTCTGCCTGCCCTGCCATGGACTGTTTCTCATCTGTGAGGCTCCTCTGCCATGCGGCCCTGCCTTGGAGCCAACCAACTGTGGGCTGAAATCTCTACCGTGAGCCAAAATAAACCTTTCCTCCTTTAATTTTTTGTGTTGGGTATTTTGTCTCAGCAGTGAGAAAAGTAACTGACAGTCACTCATAGAAAAGATAATACATATTTAAGGAGATGAAAGTACTAGTTACCCTGATTTGAACATTACACATTATAGATATGTACAGAATTATAATACTGTATGTCATAAGTACAAGTATTACAAATCAATTAAAAGTAAAATTTTAAAAAACATACAAAACAATGAAAACAATTGAGTTCTATGGCTATGTCTAAAAGAATGTAACAAAGTGAATTGTTTTTTTTTTTTGTTTTTTTGTTTTTTTTTTCAAACAAAGTGAATTGTTTGAAAAACTGAGCTAACTGACTTGTAAAGATAGAAATGCCTTTAATCATATCCTGAAAACAAAAATAAATACTTAGTAAATGAAAGAGATGAAAATTTCGTATATCACATTTCTGGACATAATGCAATAAAATCAGAAATAACAGAAATAAATGTTTGTTTTTTGTTTCTTTGTCTTTTTGAGACAGGGTCTGCCCATGCAGTTCACACTGGCCTTGAGCTAACTTTGTAGCCCAGGCTGGTCTCAAAGTCGAACCGACCTTCCTGCTTCAGCCTCCCAAGTGCTGGGATTACAGGCATGTACCACCACACCTGGCTAGCTGTCTCTTTGAAAATGTTAAAATAGCCTTTTATATGATTGTGTGTGTAACAAGGTGCAAATCCAAAACACAGTTATGGTGCCTGTAATATGCATTCTTGAAAATAAATCATATCCTGAGATATACAAGGATTGGGAAAGAATTCTCCAGTTTGGAAGCACCGAGAGCGACCAGGTTGTGTTAATTGCAACTCTGGCACTGCTCCGAAGTCATTAACATCATCCTATTACAATTAGGAGCAGCAGTGCGGGGGAATGTGAGACATTAGTACTAAATCAGAGAACTTCCTCCTGCTGAGCCTGAACTTGACCTCACCGCTCTTTCAGCAGAGGATTCCAGGCAATAGCTACAAATCAGCTAGTGTTGGTTTACAAGACCACAGCTGCCTTCAGACACCAGCATGGAAACTGGCGGCAATAGCTGCAGCAGAAACACTTAAGGACCCCCGCTGTGATCTGAATGTTTTGTACCCCCAACCCCCATTTATATGTTGACACTGAATCACCAGTGTGATTAGGCAGGTCATTGGGATGTGATTCATGGGATGAGTGTCTTTATAAAAGAAGCTGTAAGTGCTGCCTGGCCCCTGCCACCATGTGAGGACACAGCGAGAAGGCAGCATGCATGAACAAGATGGAGGCCTTCACAGATACTGAATGTGCCAGCATATTGACCTCAGGCCTCCTGGTCCCAAGAACTGTGATAAATCTCTGTTGTGTATAAGCCATCAGTCTGTGGAATTTTGTTACAGCATCTGGGATGGATGAGCCTTCAAGAAGTATGATTCACCCCGTGTGAGCACTTGGGAGCCCAGAAGTGACTCTGGTCAGAGCCAGAGCCTGGGCTGGCCTCCTGACTGCTGTCCAGGTGGGGATGTACACAGACTGAACGTGGCAGCTGCACAGGCCAAGTCACTACATGCAAATGTGCAAATGAAGCCAGGTTTCACAGGACATTTGCTTACAGCTCTGTCACACGTGTTCAGAAACGTGGAAGACAATTTGGAAATGGTGGCAGTTGTTCTAAAGCTGTCACGGTTCAAGTATACTTAAAAACATTTAGAAATAAATTGGTACATAAAAATTTCACTGTTATTCTTAGCTACACAGAAACATCAAATATCTAGAATGAAGTGTCTCACAAGAGCCCTCTCTGAGGTAGTTTTAGCATATTCAGTTTAGAGGTTATTTAGTAAACAATAGAAGTGAATAAGTATCTCAACAGAGAATCCTCGAGTACAGTGCTGAGACTCAGGTGTGGTAGTAAATGCCTATAATCCCAGCACTTGGGAGGCTGAGGCAGGAAAATTGCAAGTTTGAGGCCAGCTTGGGCGAAATAGGGTGTTCAAAGGCAACCTGAATTACACAATGAGATCTTGTCTCTAAATAAACACAGGAGTACTATTTTAAAATCAGATTTATTGGTACATTTTAGGTATACATAATGAACACATTCATCATAGAGAATTTGTACCTGTACCTAATGTAACTTTTTTTCCCACCCTCGTTTAACCCCTTCTTCTCCCCATTTATGAAAGCTTTGTTTCCATGTTTTCCTTGTCTCATTTTGTTTCCCTTCCCCGCCCCCCATTTGAACATTTTCTTCCTATTTCATAAAACCTATTTTACATTTTGGTCCTTATTGACACTGTCGGTTTCTCACACCGGAGAAACAATGCAGTATTTACACATGTGTGCCCAATTTATTGCACTTAAGTGAATGGGCTCAAGGTGCATCTGTTTTCCTAAAAATAAAGAACAGGAATAGAGAACTAGATCTTTTGCACATGGCAGGGGGACCAAGAGATGGAAGAGGCAAGGGAAAGGGGACGGAAAAGCACTGAGATGTGTTCTGTGCACGGACCAACTCCGTGAGAATGTAAGTTGAGAATGTAAGCGTTCCTTACTACAGACACGCACTAATAGAAATAAAAGTTGAGAAAAACCAGTGTTGACTGAAAATGCAAGTCATAAAGATATATATCACATACATTTATCAAAAGTTTAAAAAGTTAGCAAGTTAAGCAATGTATGATTTAGGCACATACATATAAAACTGATGAAAGTCGCAGGAATTTTTTTTTAAACTTCAGGCAAATGATTCTCCTGAGTTACAATAGTGTATTCAGAGACATGTGCAACCTACCATGTCCGTTTTAGAACATTTTCATCACCCCAAAAAATGCGCATGCCAGGTGGCTATCCCCCACCTTCAACCCTGAACTCCCACTAATCTCCTTTTTGCCTTTTCTTTGT